ACAGAGCCAGGAGAGGACTTTGATGACGCAGTACCAGATGCAGTTGCACAGGAACGACGTCCCGTCCTCATCGCCGGCCAGTCTTTGAACATCGATCCTGAACTACAACTCGCACGTACCGCCATGCAGCCATCCTACTACTCAGGAAAGCGAAATGCCCATTGCATCGACGCCAACATGGCCGCTCTTTCGTATATGGCATTCGTGGTATGCAGAACCATCTACAAGGCTTGGTCAGGATTCGCGAAATGGGCGACTATGCCGTTGTTCCAGATGAAGGAGAATTTCGCACTTGGCCAACGCTATGATGTGCTCGGAAAATGGGGATCTTTGGCTGTAGTGGACAGAGAGACGGGTGTGAGCAGGGATGTGACTGACGAGGAGATCATTCGCTTTGCCAAGGAGCCTGAGAACCTCAAGCAGTACGATCCCAACGGGACTTACACTTTGAAGCGCTTCCGGACGAATCAGATGCTTTCGTTGCTTACACGGGGAGCCAACATGATGGGAATTGGCAGGGACAACTTCAACCCTACTACGTACTTGAAGAGCAACAGGGATGAAGATGTGAAGGCTATGCACTTCTGTTGCCTGAACGTCCTGTGCGAGGTGATTCCGATGGTGACAGGACACCAACAATTCTCAGTGCTACGACCAACGCCAACTGGACCGGTGGACTTCCTGTACATCGACCCCGTCGGTATCCTGCTGACTCATGCCGATCATTCAGTCCAGACCATTGGATTGCTGGTGGATCACAATGTGCAAATGCCTGCGCATTTCATGGACAGATTGGTCAGATCCAAGGCTGAGAGACAGCAAAATCCGACAACCAAACGTACTGAAGCCCTACATCACATCTCGGCCGCTGACTATCTCCCTCCAGGTGGTACTTCCATCCTGGACACGCCTGTCACTACGGAGGAACGTGCAAGCGCTTCTTCGGCCAAGGGACCTTCAAAAGGGCGTGAGAGAACCGGAGGTGAACAGCATGGAGGCTGGAACGCCAACACCTACTATGACTACACCGCCGGCAAAGGCCGAAACAAAGGCAAGGACAAAGGAAAGCAAAGGGAACAGTATCCAGAGGAAAACCTCCGGCCCTGGGACCGCGATCCTGCGACCACGCGAAGATGGAGATGAATCAACGCTTGGTCTTCCTCGCCTTTCAGTTCGTGACCTCTGAGCTTCGCCCGTGGAATGCCATCGCGAATGCTTCTTTCTTCGGTGACGCCTGATTCGTTTGCCATTTCAGGGGATCGTTACTGACGTAGATGAGTGTCACAACGTTTCTAATTGGGATGCAAAGCTCTGATTTTCAATGTCAACGTTGCGGCGGAACATTTTCTGTTGTCCTATCGTGCCATCTTCCGGGTGAGCAGCGTCGGAGACGCAACTCATGGGGGGTGCGAACGGACTGCGATGCCTTGTCAAGTTCCAAGGTGTCACTATAAGAGCTGTGAGCAATACCGTGTAAAGTGCAAGAGAAGGGGGCACGCTACGCGTCCCTCGACTCTAAGGGGGTACGCTACGCGTCCCTCGACTTTACCTTTCTATGTGACCGCCCACGCAACGTTTGGCTCAAGTCAATGCCCATAGCTAAGTGCTATATGTGTCTTCTATCCTGAGCAATCAGAGCTATCCCGTGCACAGACGAACCGCCGCCGGCAGCGAGTGCAAAAGGAACGGCCGCCGGTTCTGCCTGCATAGGATCGCACGTGTGGAAGTGTGAGAGAGAGACAGGGTCCAGTCTGTGGAGAGTGCAAGCCAGCCACACCTATATTCATTACAGCTCTGGTGGGGAGAGCAGCAACACAATCGAGATCAAATCCCCACGCATATATCATATATACATATACATATGTATATATATATATATACAAACATGCATACATATATGTATGCGCATGTGTGTATGCAATATATAACGTGTATGTGTACATGTATGTTTGTGTGCCCGTTCGTTTGTTCGTTTGTTTGTTGTTTTTGCTTGTCTTGCTTGCTTGCTTGCTTGCTTGCTTGCTTGCTTGCTTGTGAACATACATGCACAGGCATATAGACTTTTACGCAAGTATACACATACATATACGCATTCTCATGTACATACATATACATACCTACATATACGAATACATATTCATATGCAGAAATATACATATACATATGCATACGAAGAACACATACATATACATATGCGTCGTAAGTACAATGTTGCCTTGAGAGAGCAGAGACGCTGCGAGTATGACTTGTGTGTGTATATATATAGAGACATAGCTATATACGAATCAGAATAATAAGCAGAACAATCTACTTCGCATGCATGAACATGGCAAAAGCACAAATACGTTCAAGGGACCGAAACATCGGCTACTCATATTATTTTTCACAGTTCCTTTTTCTAATTACACGAGAACATGCACCAATACCCTGTCAATGTTTCAAAAGCCAAAATTTCTTTCTGATCTTTGGGGCCCTGACATGTCTCCACCGTCTGAAAGGATCCGGCGTGGGGTTCCGGAGTTTGAGTTTGCCTTCAAAGCATCCTTGTTCCAGTCGGCAGGTCGGAACAACCGGAAATGAGTAACACCCCCTTTTTCAAAGGGGAAAAGGAGGGACCCTTAATGGGGACCCCTAGCCAATAATGGGCTATATAATGGGTACCGATACGACGAAGCTCCCAGTTATCATGGCTCTTGGTCCAGTTTTCTGGCGAGCTTTGACAGATTTCATCGGGAGCCAGGTCGCGGGGACCCTTCTGGTCGACCCCCGTAAAAGTCCCTATGCACTTCTGCCACGACATACCCCGAAACCCTATTCTAATTCTGTATGACCCCAACCGTCATCCGTTGTCGTGGCTTCTTATGTATAGTCATGGTATACTCCCAGTAAACATCTGCAACAACAGCAGCGACCACAGTGATCGTCAAACTTACACTTGAAGAATCAGCCAGACACTCCGACCCAGACAGGGAGTAAGACGGGGATGCAGTATCGACAGCTTGCTCTGAGGACCTTAAACCCCATACCTCGTTGCCGGGAGAAGCCTCGTCACACCCTGAACCCTGCATGCCCTGCAAACCCCTAAACCCTAGACCCATCTGCACTTTAAACAACAGGAGCATCTTTCGGGGGATAGAGAAAAGGCGGGGGAGGGGGGGAGAACAAAGCGCCAAAGCTGTACCAACACGGCCCTTGGCCATCGCTCCGCAGCAGGCGGAGAAGCCTGAGGCGCTGGCGGCTGAAGGAAGCCCGAAGGCTAGGGCCGAGGGTTTGGGATTTACTATACGGGTCTAAATAACTACCAATACTATGTTAGGGGTTCCTTATTGTAATTAGAGTACAATGGGCCCCCAAAACCTATTCTAATTATTAAGGCCCCTATACTATAGGATTTAGAGGATGCTTAGGCATTCTAGGATCTAGGGCCCACCGGAAGGGCTTTTGCTACCAAGAGAGGGTCGTAGGATCCACCAAGATTCGACTTCTGTATCGATCTTCATGTGTGTCGTTCTTTTGGTTGGACGCTGGATTGTCGGAACGCTCGATAGTTCTCAACCTCTTTTTTCACAGGCTTAAACATACCTGCGGTGGGGCCTTACATCCCGTAAAAAACTCTATACGGGTTGATAAGAAGAGCTAGGACATCCCTATTGTGACTATCCTAAACCCCAAATGGGAGTTTCCGAAGATCGGGGACCCTAATACAGTACCCTGAATAGTAGGATCCTTATGATAAGGACCCCAAATAAGGTACCCCCAATTCTCGGAAACTCCCAAATCCCAAACGCGTCGAGAACTCCCGACTGGTCTACCTCCACGGTACCCATAGGCCCCAAAGTAGTTCCTTTTTGGGGTTCGTATATAGAATCCTATAGGGTAATCCCGAAAAGGAACTACTTTGGGGCCTATGGGTAGTGGTGTTCAGACTAAGCAGGAGGAAGCCGGCCTCCACAATGAAAAGGTAACGCCAAACCCTGGGCCCGAAATTTCCGAACATCCCAAAACCTAGGGCTAACTTTACCATAAATCTTAACTCCCAAACCTTGAACCCTAAACCCTAAACCTGCTGAGCCCTAAACTCCAAACCCCGAAAATTCTACCCTACGTAATCAGCATCGTGGTCTCCGACACAGGCCGCCAGTGCAGCAAGTGAGACCGGCGAACCACGAGCAGGCCCATCTTGACCTGCCAAACCTAGGTTTTTGTAGGGTCCTCATAAATTTTAGAAAGGGTTCCTGATGGGAACCTTCAAGAAAGTAGGTTATGGTAGGCTAAGGTAGGGTTTATTGTTTGGTTGTATTCTGGGGCTAAAATGTGGGCCTGCAAAATTAGTAGTCTTATGTTTAGGGTTCCTTGTTGTGACTATAGTAGCGCATACCACACCCAACACCCTACTCAATAATTTGGTCACAGGAGTAGGATCTTTGGTAACCCGAAACTCGTAACCTCAATCCTTGAACTCGAAACGCTGAATTTGTAAAGCCTGCAAAGAGCACCAGGCACTCTCGCTACGAAACAGACGTTTTTTCTTCGGGTTCCTCGTCTCCGGGTCAACATTCAGTGCTGAAAAAGGAATTACGAATCCTATTCCTCAGGGGTCCTTAGTGGGTCCTTATTTTAACTGTAACTACACGAAAAATAGCCATAAGCACTATTCCATGTATTCGGGCCTCGCGATTGTCTGGTTTTCAGGGGCGGGACTCGAGGACTGACCCGACCACCCGAAACCCCGAAGCCATGCCCCTGCATCTCCAAAATTCAGCCCTCAACCTACATCATTATGACAGTATGACTAATGGTATCCTCATGAAATTGCATGCGTATCACGATTGTTATGATTATGATAATGCTCAGTGTATCCCGATGGTTATGATTATTATAATTCGTATTGTGTTTGTCTGTATGAACCCAAAAGTTTTAAGCCCGGCGTTGCTCAAGGCAAGACTTTGGAAGTCTCGAAGTCAAGCCGAAGTTTTCAGTTTTCAGTTGCCGTTGTGCCCATGGCAACCAACGCTCCGCTCCTGGGCAAGGCCGCCCACAGCAAGGCATCGATCTTCTATGGAGCCGATGAGTATCTCGAGGAGCTGAAGCTTAGTAGCTGAGTGGATACACTTTACACTTTTTGGGATACCATTACCCACTATAGGACTGAAAGTGTACACATTTTGGGGCTTATGAAGTCAGCGACTAAGGAAGAAGAAGTACGAACATGACCACGAGACTTGGCGTTCTTCTGGTTGGCTCTTAGGACTTTCACTTTGAGGGTCTCTATATTAATATGAACTACCATAAGTTGGCTAAGAGTTTAACATTCAGGAGGGGTTCAGAAGTCAGCCAAGGAGATCGCAGCTCTTAAGAACGCTCTGCCGGGCGAGGGGGACCCTAACGCAGCAGGCGTTGCCCAGAGCAGCGACAAGATGCTCTCCGTTCAGAAAAACAACGAGAACAGGAGCCTGAAGACGAACCGGCTCTTCCCCACTCCGAACAAGCCAGACCCCATGCCGCAGAATCTGGCATTCTTGTTCACGAAGATCACACCGGAGATTTCGCTAAATCTGAGCTTTTCTTTTTGCTGTGTGTTTCTCTCGGGGGCGGCTGTCTCTTTCTGGAGTCGTGAGAGTTCGGTGATTCTGGATGCGCAGGGGAACTTTCATTTTTCTTGCTGTACTGATCCTGCTGTCTGCACTTTCGTGTCCTTTCATGTTTTGGTGATATGCTGTCCAAGACGTGCTGTTCTTTGACTTCCCCCCCATAGTTAGGATAGGCAGCTAGGACTTTGGCATCCTGCTGTCGTTCACTTTCAATTTCAAATTAGGAGCAGATGATATACATGTGGAATGTGCTCACCGCAATCTTCGTGAGCCAAGTGCTGATGGTGATCGGCTACTGTGTGGCCTTGGCATGCTTCCCAGACTACTGGTGGACTTGCACGCTTTGCTTCGGCCTCCCTTTCTCTTACATCGCCATCCAGAACATTTACATTGATCACGATGTGATGCATGGCGCCACTTTCCCGGTTTACGAGTGGCAGCGCTTCTTAACTCATCCGTTTGCGGACTTTTTCTCCCTCCCGTGGGAAGAATTCGTCCTGGAGCACAACAGGCATCACGCCTCCACGGTGGACTTGCTGATCCAGGGCGAGTTCGGCTGGGACCCCGAGGAGTTCCACTATGCTCTGCAGCAGTGGGCTGGGCCATGGAGCTCCAACTGGTACAAGTACCTGCTCACTGTGCCTTTCATCCCCGTGATTCACTTCTTCGGCCTGAACGACACAGGTTCCTTGTTCGCCTTGGAGTGGTGGATGCACTTTCCTGACGAGGGTGCAGGGGGCAAGTGCAACAAGGAATTCTGGAGCAAGTGGATTCCACGCCGCATCAAGCACAACGCCTTCGTGCTTTCGCTCTGGGCCTGCATCTGGCTTCTCGGCACCTACCCTCTGGGACGTCCGCTGAGCGAGGGGTGGCGATTCATGTTCACCGTGTCTTTCTTCGCTCGCATCGGCTACTCCGCAGCCTGGATGTTCATCACCAACTTTACCCACTCGTTACCTTGGAACGAGTTCCTCGCACAGGATCCCGGCCGCACCTGGCCTGTCCTTCATAACGTGATGGCCATGGTGCTGGGAGGAAAGCACCGCTGGAACGAAATGCTCTTCCACGACGTCCATCACGCATTTCCTAATGCGGTCGGCACGCTGAGCCAGCGCGGCCGCTTCCACGGCTGGGAGAAGGTTCATGATGCAGCGGCAGAAGTCCTGCACCGGGGGCTGTGGAAGCCTAATGGCGATGAGGAGACGCAGATGCAGAAGACTCAGAAGAAGCGATCCATGATGATGCAGCAGGGCAAATGAGCAACTCTTAAGATTTTCGCATCTGCCAGCATAAGGCTGTTCAGCTACGACGACAGCCTGGCAGAAGCCCCTCTTGTACAGGGCCTGCAAAGGGGCCTAGCTTGTACAGAACCTGTGCATAAGTGCTTCCGAGCTTGCACGGCGAGGTTTCTGGGGAGGCCCAGCTCAAAGCTGGGTGCAACCTGGACAGGAGATGCCAGAAGAAAGGAGCGCGGGGTCTTCGGAAGCAAAGCTTGTAGCTACAGATATAGATATATATATATATATATATATATCTATATCTATATCTATATCTATATATATATATATATCTATATCTATATCTATATATCTATATATATATATATATATATACATGTGTATGCTTGGCAGGCTCGTCTGCAACCGGTCCTGAACCTCAAGGCGCGGCGGAGCCGAGGTTTGTCGGATTTCGAGTTTAGGGTTTAGGGTTTAAGAATCACAGTATACTATGGTATACGATAATATACTACAACATACTTTAGCATACTACAGTATACTAGAGTATACTACAACATACTTTAATGTGCTATATTGTACTGTATTATACTAAACCTGACAACAATATACAGTGGTCCTGACCCCGCGGTCCTTGACGATGATGCTGATGATGACAAATATGACTATGATGATTACGATGGTGGTGACGATGAGGGTGATGATGATTGCCACGACTCTGATGGTGTTGCTGATGGTGTGATGAAGATGAAGGCTTGTTCGATTGTTGATGCTGATGTCTTTTTCGAAGATGCTTCTTATGCTGCTGCCCGTGGCGTTCATCGCAGACTCTGATGGGTCGGGTGGTGGTGGTGGCATGATGGTGGTGGTGGTGTGGACGATGCTATTGTCGACGCTGCTTGTGTCTGTGACAGTGCTTGTGCTTGTTTTGCAGGTGGTGGCAGCGGTTCTGATTGTGATGGTTGTTGTGGTATGATGGCAGCAGTGCAAGGGAAAGAAGAGGATGGCGATGCCGATGCTGACGATGTGATGTTCCTTAGGGACTGAACTCCGAACCCTCCTCAAGGCTGGAAATCCATAGTCATTGTCTTCGTTGTTGGTATTGACGGTCTCGATGGTGTTTGGTGATGGTGAGGCTACTGATGCTGGTGTTGGTGGTGGTTGTGTTTTTGGTGCCGTGATGAAGAGGGTGTTGATCTTGAAGGCACAAAGTTCCTGACTTTGGTCGTGACAGATGGCGGCGTCGGTGATGAGGTTCATGTTTGCGATCGCGATGATTTCGATTATGCTGCTGGCACCGCTGCTCAGAATGAGGGTGATGATGCTGCTCACGAAGAAGATCGTGATTATGACTGGGAAGATATTGGTGACAGTGACGGTGGTGCGATGACGGTGGCGCTAAGGCTTGCTCAGGGCTTGATTGTGCCAAGGGTCCTAGTTGCTTCCTCTGCAGGTCTTGTTGCTGCACAGTGTAGCACGGAGCAGTTGTAACAGTGGCAGCAGAGTACCCAGTGCTCCAGTGGGCTCAGCTTGAAGCACTAGCCAACGCATGACCTGTCACAAGCCAACTAAACTTTTCCAACCTCGTGGCGCCTGGAACTTACTCAGAGTCTTTCTTCTCTGTCGCTTGGACGATGGCAAGCTTTCGTATGCCAGAGGAGTCCGAACAGCATGCTGCTACATGGATGGTCTTCAAGGCATCCAAAGCCATCTGGGGCGGCGACCTGGCGCCCTACGTTGAGAAGGACCTCGCAGAGATCGCCAAGACGATCGCCAAGTATGAAGCAGTGACTTGGGGGCCGAGTACTACTCAGATTTTTAACACTCTTTTTTGGGTACACAAGACATGCTGCCGCACCTTTAAAGGATTCTTGGGGTACATATCTAACACTATCACTACCATACTTGTACCGTTTCAAAACATACCTTGACTCTTGTTTTTTGTGCTCCGCCGATAAGGTGAAAGTTCTCGTCGCAGCAAAGGATCGCCCGAGGCTCAGCCGACTCTTGGAGGGCGTGGGGGAACACCTTGAGGTGGGGGGCCCTGGGGAGAGGGAGAGGGAGAGGGGGTGCTCTTGGGGTGGTTTCGGTAAAGCAGAAACCCCAAAAGGCCCGAAGCCCTAATGCCCTAATCCTCGGCCCTGTGAAGCCTCAGGTGCTTGAAGCAGAAGCGGACGACCTTTGGGTCCGTGATTCGGGTCCCGTTTTCACCGTCAGCGAAGCAGGCGAACTCCGGGCCGTGAAGTTCAACTTCAACGGTTGGGGCAAGAAGCAGAGGCATTCTTTGGATAACCAGCTTGCAAAGAAGATCGCTGATCTGGCTGGCGTCGAGCTTGTCACATCTTCTCTTGTATTGGAAGGTGGTGGAATAGAGGTCGATGGGGATGGAACTGCCATAATCACCGAGAGCTGCGTGCTGAACGGCAACCGCAACCGAGGTGTGACGAAAGACGCTGCCGAGACGGAGTTAAAGTCCCTTCTGGGCCTGCAGAAGATCATCTGGTTGCCCGGAATTGCCGGAAAGGACATCACAGACGGGCACACAGACTTCTACGCACGCTTTGTGAGGCCCGGCACCGTGGTGGCGGCGCTTGATCCCGACCCTCGGTCCTTCGACAAGGCCGTGACGGAAAAGCACCTGGCTCTCCTGCAAGAGGCAACTGATGCAAAAGGCCGGAGGATCGAGGTAGCTGTGCTTCCTGTGCCACGTAAGGTAAGGAGGAAATCGGAAGACTTTGCTGCTGGCTACGTGAACTTCTACGTCACGAACGGAGCAGTTCTGGTTCCTGAGTTCGGTGATCCCGTTGCCGATGCGCAGGCGATGAAACTGCTGCAGGGATTGTTTCCGGGGAGAGTAGTGGAGCAACTGAATATCGACAATGTGGCAGAGGGTGGCGGAGGAATCCACTGCGTGACTCAGCAGCAACCCGCAGGAGTCTCATGAGAGCCCTTGCAAAGTAGGGGATGGGGGTCTTTGTGGGTTTCGTTCATGGGAGTGTTACAGCAGGGTTTCGGGTCTATAGTTTGGGGTTTGAGGATCAGGGATCCGTTTCAGCTGCGTTCCGCCCGAGCCCGAGCTCGCTCGACTGTCGGTGCATGCTCACTTCTCACCGCCCCAAAAAGGATGCTTGCAGCATGCTGGGCAGTGGAGCTTGGTGAAAGGAGGTTCGGAGGGGAGTGTTGGGGAACCTTGTGAACACGCAACAGAAGGACGCAGCCACTTAGCTACTTCTCCTGGGGTGAGAGCCTCTGCGACTGTTGAAGTGCTTCTGTTCCTGGGAGGTTGCTACAGCCGCAGCTGTGGCCGACAGCTTCCCAGAGAGCCCAATACCCCTTAATTAAGGAATATAGCTTAAATCATACTAGGAAACCCCTTTGGTAAATTCCTTAATTGAGGGTTATTGGGCTCTCTACTTTAAACAAACAAGCACACAGGACACCCGGGTGGTTGTCAAAATTAGGGTCCCTTTTTGGGTCCCTCTTATACTACGGCACCTAATATTTAGGGAACCCAAAATGGGACCTTAATTTTGACAGCCACCCACCTCGATTGAAGAAAGGAAGAAGCCTGGAGCCCTCCGAGGTGTCCGTTGAAGCAGCTGTCTGGGGCTCCGAAGCCGCTCCCAGCTCTCCGACGCCATCCCTAACCCTTTTAAGAACCCTACCTAAACCCTAAAATCCTAAAATCCTAAACCCTAAACCTTAAACCCTAGAATCCTAAACCCTAAACCGTAATATCCTAAACCCTAAACCTTAAACCCTAGAGTCCTAAACCCTAAACCCTAAAATCCTAAGACCTAGACCCCAAGCCCTGCCTGACTCTGAAGGCGCCGAAGCGGGAGGTCACCTGAACATCGATGCGCCGGCCTTTGTGCCAAAGGAGGAGCTTCGGAAAGCTCTATGTGGGAGTTTCCGAAAATAGGGGACCCTAATATAGTACCCTAAACAGTAGGATCCCTATTATAAGGATGTACCCCTAATCTTCGGAAAGCTCCCATGTAGGCGAAGCCCCCGTGAAGAAAGCCCAGTGCGCTTTCGATGCAATTGGTTCAAGCTCATGTGGACAGCGTTTAGGCTTACTTGGAGGCTCATGGTTAGTTAGAAGAAGGGTAAAAAGTAGGATAACTACAGTTATCACACATATTGAGGGACTTATAACCCTACTTATAACTACCCATGAACCTCCAAGTAGACCCTGCCCTAAGCCCTATACCCTTATAGAAGCCCTATAGATCCCTTTAAAGGGACCCTTAAAACTACCCATGAACCTCCAAGTAGGGGTCCATCAGAGGCTTCTGGTTGCCAGTTGGTTTTCAAGGCTCGAGCTGCTGAACTAGGTGGTTGGGCAATGTAGGAACCTGAGTAAGAAACGTTGGGCGTTTATTAGGGCTCCTTTTTGAATCCTACTATTCTGGGGTTGTAGGCCCAGGGTTTCTTAATCAGGTTCCTACATTAAGTTGTGAGGCCATCGAAAACACTCAAGCTGCTTGTTTTGGCAATGCCGTGGGATCTTGGTGTTTCAGGGTCGATGTCACTAACTCAGACTTGTGTTGATCATGCCGATAGCGAGAAGAGCTGGCCACTAGCAAGGCTTCTCTGACTTGCATGACGACAGCCGAAGTAGATGGCATCCTCCGCAACGTGCCATGTAAAGCTTGAGTGCTTTGCTGCCCACAAGCTTGCGGCCCGAATCCGTAGAGGCTGCAGAAGCCTCACCGCCCCAAAAAGGCAAGAGTATACTATAACGATAACATCCTGGAGTATACGTAACAAAATGTATTGCAACATGCACTGATGAGCTAGGTCTGGCCATTATGACTGTTTCTGCTTGCTGGCGTGCGATCAATTGGCGGAAGGAGGGCCCCGATGTGGTGGACTTGTTCCAGCCTCAGGTCCAGTGGCTCGCCAATTGTCGGCGCAAGTTCTGAGCCTCAACTCCCCAAGCCCTAAGAAGAAGATCCTTCCAGCCCTCGAAAAAGAACAGAGCAAACCCTGAACCAGCAAAAAAGTAGACCAAAGGCTTTGGAGGCTGGAGCCACGGCAAGGACTGCCTCTTTCCCACCTCGACGAGAGGACCGAGGACGGTACTTGTCGAAATCCTAAACCCAACGCCGAAATCCAAGCCAGAAAACCCAGAAACCCCAAAACCAACATCAGAGTACTTTGTCCCGAAAGCCAAACGAAGCCTTCGACGCTGAAGCACCCATCGTAATCCCTAAGCCCACAAGCCCCAACCGCAACGTCAAGTCCGCCTCATCCGAATCGGTGCCTTTCGGGCCCTCTCGCGCCCCCTCGCCTCTCGAGGCTTCCAAACCATCACAGGGCCCGTCTTCGACAGTTCTACCAGGCCAGGACAATCCTGCGGGGTGTCCGAGGCTTTTGTTTCTTACCAGTATTTTTGGGAGTGGGGGGGCGGGGAATGTCAAGTTCTCGAGTTCTAAACCTTATGGATTTCAATGTGCCCGAGCCGCACCCACCTGGAGGCATACAATGGGACCTACTGCGGCTACTACGCATCTTGGCCTCTTTCTCCAGCCTACAGCTGTACTTGTGTGTATTCTTTGCATTAGAGTATATGCACCTGCATCAGGAGAGCTTTTCTAAATCAGCATCGCATTTTGGTCCTCCCAGAGGATGTCATGCGTTGAATACGAAATGTTGACCGCAACCCCCCGACTTTGCAACAACACCTGAGTATAAATGGTACGCTTGGGCGAGTGTGCACTTCTTGTGCATATGTGCATATATATATATATATGTGTACATATACTGAAAAACACCTACTTACATGCATGCGTGCATGCAGGCGTACATGCACGCATGCACACACACACACACACACACACACTCACACATATATATATATACACACATACATATCTACATATGTACACACGCACACCTACACCTACGCCTCCGCCTACCCCGAAGGCTACGCCTGTGCCTACACATACGTATACACATGCGCATACACAGACGCATACACATCACACACACATTATATATATATATATATATATATATGTATATATAAGTAAACATAAATGCATGTATGATGCATTCATATACGCATTCATGTACGCATTCATGCATGTACGGTATGTCTGTGCATACAAACCCTCACAGACAAGAAAGGCCGGCAGACAGCCAGGCAGGCAGGCAGTCAGGCAGGCAGACAGACAAACAGTCAGACAGTCAGACAGTCAGACACACAGACACGCAGACACACAGACACAAAGACACAGAGATGCAAAGACACAGACAGACGCACGGAAACAACATGAAACAACAACACATAGGCACACACACACACACTGACACCCACAGACACGCAAGCACACAGACAATACAAAGAGACACAGATGCGCAGACACACAGACACAGGCACGCAACACTTCGGACACAGGCAAAGAGCCACACGAGATATGTGTGTGTATATACGTATATACAAACGTGTTTGTCGGTATAAACATATGCATATACATACATTTTTGCTTATTTCTACACACGTACGTATCAATCTGCAAACGCCCAAGTTCGCCCACACTCACGCACCGTTGCTGCTGCTGCGGGTCGGCGGACGCCAACCCCAAAAGCCTCTGGATCTGAGCTAAACCGCTGTGTGTATGCTTACAGTTGCATCCCCTAAACCCTTGTTGGATTTTTGTTGGGGGGTCGTGGTCGATGAATATGTGTATATATATATATATGCATATCTATCTATTTATGTGTATATGTATCTATGTATCTATGTATATATGTATGTATGCAACGTATGTATATACGTCTATGTGTCTAGATGTCTACATGTATACATCTTATTCTATGTATCTGTATGTCTGTATACCGATATGTCTCATCTGTTTATATACACACATGTGTGTATCTCTCTCTCTCTCTCTTTCGGGTCTCTGTGTTTGTCTCTCTCTCTGTCTGTCTCTGTTTCTCCGAACTTCTCCTCTTTGCGGTAAGTAGGGAAGCCCTTTGCTTCCTGGATTGCTTCGGCCTCGGGCAGCCGGACTGCCCGGCTTGCCTGTGCAGAGTGTACGAGTCCTAGGGTCCTAGGGTTCACAGAGCACAGAGATCCTAGCGTCGACCGTCCTGCAGCGCAATGCCCAAGTGCGTTGAGTCAGCGAACCGTGGAGTCTCACGAGCGCGCTCACGGCAAGCTCGGCGTTATCTCGGCGACGCCGCAAGCATCCCCCCTGTATGAGCGCAGTGAAGCTACTGTTGCCCAGTCTCTGGCACAGCAACCCGCTACCCACTCGGAGACGCTAAGGTGGGCACACTGAAGAGCTACAACGTGCGAAACGGCTACGGCTTCTTAGAGCCCCTCGCTCGCATCGCCGGCTTTGAGGCATAACTCCAGGGTCCGTCCTTTATCGCACTCGTATTGTCCTCCCGGGACCTTAAGAAGACCTTGAGTTGCAGCTCGAGCCGGAAGCCCCAATCCTTGATGTTATGGAGCCCTTCTATGGTATGCAATATATCATACGCTTATGGGATCCTTCCAGTAGCTTTTAGGTTCTGCACTGTTTGGAGGTTCATGGGTACTTGTAACTGGGGCTATAAGTCCCATAAGATGGCTTAACTACTTATTGTAACTACCCATGAACCCTAAACCCTATACCCTTAAAGAAGCCCTATAGATCCCTTTAAAGGACCCCTATACACCCGACTTATAGCTACCCATGAACCTCCAAGTAGACCCTAAGCCCTATACCCTTATAGAAGCCCTATAGATCCCTTTAAAGGGGGTCTTAAAGGAACCCTTATAGCTACCCATGAACCTCCAAGTAGAGCCCTCGAAGTTTCCCCGCCATGGGCTCTGAGGTGCCGGCAAGCTAAGCAGGACTGGGGTGTGGACGTGTCTCTTCTGCAAGATGTGCCGGTGTCGACGAGGGAGTTTCCGAACATTTGGGTTCCTTGTTTTCGGTCCTTCTGATAAGTATCCTTCTATTTCGGGTACTATATTAGGTTGCCCTAGTTTTGGAACCCCCATGAGGGCCCTGGGGTTCTCAGGGACCCCTCGGGGCCTTCGGTGCCTCTAGCTATCATTGCAAAATGGGGATTTCGGTTTGGGGCTTCCATTGCCGTTACAAAAAAGGTGCAAGATGTTCGGGAAGGTTCGTAAGCAGTGCTTTCGTTCGACTGGAGTGTCAGAAAAGATCCTTGTAACAAGGACGCCTGATTGCAAGTTGCCCCTTGGTTGTGAGAGATTTAGGTTTTCATCCACAAGAACAACGTGCCGACCCCGTGGTTACTGGGGCAGGCGCACGTTCGGGGATGGACGGCTTCTGAGCTTCCTGATTCAATCGTTGTGTCAGATTGCTGGACGGATCAGGGGGCTTAGTCACTAGGGTTACTTGAATCTTGCCTTGATTCGGGCACCTATAGCCATATCATCCTTTGGGTAGGTGCCCCCTTTGTCATCATAGTTTGTTCAGAAGTCCAAAAGCCCCAGATCCCGGACTCCGTCCTCGGCACTCAGTCTGCAACCTGCAATCTCTGAACGAAGCCCTGAGCCTTAGGCCAAGAAGAGCCTTCGTATTATCCCCTTTTTTGTCCCCATGATACCTACTACTATGGTATAAAATACCATGTTCAATGAGGTCATATAGGCACTTATTATCCCCTTGTTATAAACACCCTGAAGCCCGAAACCCGGCGTTCTTCCAAACTCGAGAAGGCCAGCTCGCTTCCCCAAACCCTTCGAAATCCGGAAGCCGTCGATCTTAAGGCCACCCAGAGACTCCAATATCCCTCAATTAAGGAATATTCCTTAAATTATAGTAGGATCCCTAATATGATTTAAGGAATATTCCTTAATTAAGGGATATTGGAGTCTTTGGCCACCCTCTCGGTTCAGAGTGTAGGCCCCCAAAAATCTGCGGAGACATCGCCAGCAGAATTTTACAAACACCAAACCCCGCAAAGCAAATCCACAATGCCACCTCCTTTCAACAAACAGCAAGCACGAAAAGCAGCAAATCCAATACCACGCCCTAAAGGGAACTCCAGAAAGTTGGAATATGGATTAATGCTAGGATCCCTATAATTTACCTTAAAGGGGTTAGGATAATGATATTCCAACTTTCTGGCTTCTACTGTATAAGCCCTGTATCCTAAGCTCCAAACATCCCCCAACCCTAAGTTATGGCGGCCTTAAGAAGTAGAGTAGGGTTTTACGAAATACTGCGCTTAGCTATACTAAGGAGCCCTCAGGAATGGTACAGAACCGGCGCAACCCCGAAACCCTTGACTCCCTGCCCCCTAAACCCTGAACCCCAAACCCTAAAAACCCTGAACCCTAGAACCCTGAACCCCAAACCCTAGACCCTAAAACCTGAACCCTATACCCTGAACCCTAGAACCTGAACCCTAAACCCTAAACCCCATGAAGACGAGAGTCAGCCGAGCCCTGACTCCCTGGCCAGCCCGTGGAGTTCGCGGTGCAAGTGAACACGAGGGGCCAGCCCCAGGCTTCGGCTGAAAGGTTTTCAAAAGGGGCTTGGGGTTTGAGGGTTCAGGGTTTGGGTTTTTGGGTTTTGTTTGGGGTTTGGGGTTCCGGGTTTTGAGTTATGTTTGAGTTTTGTTTGGGGTTTTGGGTTCTGGGTTTTGTTTGGGGTTCATGGTTTTGGGTTTTGTTTGGGGTTTGCGTTTAGTGTTTTGGGTTTTGTTTGGGGTTTGGGTTTTGGGTTTTGGGTTTTGTTTGGGGTTCAGGGTTGGGGCTCTGGGGGATATCGGATTGGGTTTCTGGTTTGGGGTTTAGGGTTTACGGCATAGGTTTCGGTTGTAGGAATTCTATACATGCGCTATTTCAAGAGATTCGACAGGAGTTGCTGCTAAAGGGATACTAGCAGGTTTGCCATGAGAGGCCAATTTATGCAATATACATAATTGTATATATGTATATATATATATATGTATGTATGTATATATATATATATATAACATCTGTATGTATATATATATATACACATACATACATGTATATCATATTTTTCATTTCGAACACAATGTAATCTGTTAGAAAAAAGTAAGGGCCCCGGAGGATTGCTGGTTTGAGCTCCCGATTGTTCCATCAGCTATCTTGCCTGGCTGCATTGTGGTCTCAGGCATACGATTGCCTCTGGCTGCCGCGGCTGCCCCCGCAGGGTAACAAGGCGCTTCTGCTGCAGTTTGGTCCCTTGCACCCCACATTGCAAGGGTGCTGCCCAGAGAGCCCAATACCCCTTAATTAAGGACTGTACCTTAAACTATAAGGCGGTTCATACTATGATTTAAGCTATATTCCCTAATTTAGGGGTATTGGGCTCTCTGGGTAATGGGCAGTTCCGTCTGGGAGTCTTGAACCGCAATTTTGGAGTAACTCCCGACTCCCGACGCTTGAAGTCTGAATCCTTAACCGATTGCACTTCCGAGGATGCGCAACCCAGAGCAGTGTAGGGCTTGGGGGGTTTAGGGTCTAGGGTTAAGGGTCTAGGGCTTAGGGTTTATATATATATATATATATATATATATATGGGAGTTTAGGGTTCGGTGTGCACGCCTTTCCTTGGTCCGTCGGTCTTTTGATTTTTTGGGGCAGCAGCATGCACGAGAAGGGTTCAACCGTAGGGTGTCAGCCGAGGCCCAAATGGGTTTAGGGTCTGGGGGTTTGGGGTTTAGGGTGGGGTGTATGGGTTTAGGGTTAAAGGCTCTATCCCGGGTACATGGATTTGGTTTAGGGCTTTTGAGCTCTATCCCTAAATCCCCGCATTCCGCAAAGCCCGGGAGGTGACTCCGGGCACTGTGCCGGGTCCCCAGGGACAGCTGGAGGGTTCAAGGGCTGAGTCTTACTGTTTCTCAGCAGGTTTTAGCACGGGTTTCACAGGGTTGAGTTTTTTGTTTACACCTTGGGTTTTAATGGGATTTGTCAGGGGTTTCTGCGGGTTCCATAAGGTTTCGTTCGTACCTGTAGCTTTATCGGGTTGGATCAGCGATTACTGAGGAGTTTGGATAGGATGCCGCGAGCAAGACAGAGCAATTGACACGATCACCGCCACCGACAGCTGTACTTCGGGGGACGTTTGGGTCTAAGTCTACCCTAAACCCCTGAACCCCTAGGTTCTGGGATACCCAGACCTGGCACCGAGGCGTCCAAGGCCCTCAACGCTGAGATGCAGAGCCTCCTCCCAAACCAGAGCGCCCTAAATTAGCCTAAGCCCTAAACCCAACCCTCACGGCAGCAAACACCAAAGAAGCCTGGGCCTAAACCGTACAAGCCTAAACTCTCAAAAGCCCAAGCCGTAAACCCTGAAGCCTAAACCCAAGCTGCATATCAACTTAAAAAACCCCCCAAGCTGCAGGCCAGCTCTGCCAGGAGCAGGCCAAGGACTTCAAGTATAGGGCTTAAAATAATTACCTCCACCATTTTGGGGGCTCCTTATCAGGATGAAAGTATCACATGCCCCAAAATCCTATTAAAATTACGAAGGTCCCTAAAAATAGGGCTCCGGCTTTGAGTGTAGGGTTTACAAGCTATATCCTACAGCCCAAACCCCTACAGTAAGCCCGCTCGTGGTGATCCAAGGCTCTAGACGGCCTCTACTTGGAGGTTCATGGGTAGTTATAAGTGGAGTTATAAGTAGGGTAACGACAACTACAGTTATAGCCCATATTAAGGGACTTATAACACCACTTATAACTACCCATGAACCTCCAAGTATTGCTTTAGTTTAGGTCCTGAAGCGCTCCGGCCGAGCCAGAAACTTAACCCTTAAGCCCCAACCCAAAATGCCGAAAGCCCTTTGAGCCCCACCTCTCGAACCCTCGCCTTGGCCCCTACACCGAGCAGTGAAAGGCCCTACCTCTTCTCACACATGGTTACCGCCGGGTTTTCGAAAGCCATGTGGAATTGGTTCTTAACCCACGCCTGCCAGCAAAAGTCAGGACTTGCAGATATGCCCGTGAACATGACTTTCAGGAACAATGTAGCCTGAACTTAGGGCGTCGCATTATTTCTCTACCCGGCTCCTGAATGTCATTATCAGAAGCATATCTGCGCTGGCTTGACTTTTGGCCGCAGCATGGGGCCCCAACCCCCCCACCCGCGATCCCAAAGTAAAGTACTGTTCTAGAAGCACCTGGAACCCAATGCGAAAGCCTCCAAACCGGAACACCTCCAGAACAGCGCCTGGTGACTTAGGTGCGTGTGTGGTCCTAACTCCAAACCCCAAAGCCGGACACTCCACGATCCCCAAAGCCTGTTATGCAACCTTGTACTCCGTACTTCGGAGGTTCATGATTCGCCGTAAAAGTAGGGTTTATACGTAGGATACTCTCAGTTTTAGCCCATCTTAAGAGACATGTAGCCCCACTCAGAACTACCTGTGGACCTTCAAAGTAACCAACCTTGTTAATGTAGGGGTCTGAATAAGTAGAATAGGGTCTTGGGGGATATAACACTATAATTGTAATAAGAAACCCCCAACTTCCTATTCTAATTATTCAGGCCCCTATACTAAGCACCAGCACATCGGAGACAACCCTTTAAACCCAGGGCAGATCTCGTAATAGAAAGACATAGAAAGACCACGGCCTTATATCATCTTTTGCTGCCCTAAAACCTAAACCCCAAAAGCCCCAAAACCTAAACCACCCCTAAGCCCTAAAACCCTAAAGGGACGCTTGCTGAAGTCTCGCCAGGCCCCTACTCTGCAGGCAGCTCCTCCTCAACAGCCCTCGTGCCTCGCCTGGAAACCCCCCTTACCACGGAATAGGGTTTAATTTTCAGGGTTTGGGGTTTAGGGTATCCGTAACATGGCTGAGCTTTCGGCTTGTTTAGGAGCCTAAGAGCAAAAACAGCCCTGAACTTTTCGGCTTTAGGGCTTTTGGGTATCCGGGTTTAAGGCTTCTTTCAGAGGTTTGATGTTTCCTTGGGGCTGCGTGGCGCTTAAGGTTGTGTAGGAGGGCTTGCCTACGGGCCTCACCAGGAGGTTTATCTTCCTGGGCTCCAACGTGTTTTACTATTATTATTACTATTATCATTACTATTATTACTATTATTATTATAATTTATCATTACTATTATTCCCCACATCACTGTGGGGTTTTTGTTTTTGGCCTGCACCGCCCCATCCGCTCGCCCGCCTGCCTCCTCCCTCCCCCCTCCTCACAAGACAACGCCACACCACACCACACCACACCACACCACACCACACCACACCACACCACACCACACCACAGCTCTCGGAGGGCTCTTGGAGGGCTCTTGTGGGATCAGGCGCGCGCAAAGGGGTCCTGCACTTACGAAGAGTCTTCCGGAGGCTCTCGGAGGGCTCTTGGAGGGCTCTTGTGGGATCAGGCGCGCGCAAAGGGGTCCTGCACTTACGAAGAGTCTTCCGGAGGCTCTTGGAGGGCTCTTGGAGGGCTCTTGTGGGATCAGGCGCGCGCAAAGGGGTCCTGCACTTACGAAGAGTCTTCCGGAGGCTCTTGGAGGGCTCTTGGGGGGCTCTTGTGGGATCAGGCGCGCGCTAAAGGGGTCCTGCACTTACGAAGAGTCTTCCGGAGGCTCTTGGAGGGCTCTTGGAGGGCTCTTGGGGTCCTGCACTTACGAAGAGTCTTCCGGAGGCTCTCGGAGGGCTTTTGGAGGGTTCTTGTGGGATCAGGCGCGCGCAAAGGGGTCCTGCACTTACGAAGAGTCTTCCGGAGGCTCTCGGAGGGCTCTTGGAGGGCTCTTGTGGGATCAGGTGCGCGCAAAGGGGTCCTGCACTTACGAAGAGTCTTCCGGAGGCTCTCGGAGGGCTCTTGGAGGGCTCTTGTGGGATCAGGCGCGCGCAAAGGGGTCCTGCACTTACGAAGAGTCTTCCGGAGGCTCTTGGAGGGCTCTTGGGGGGCTCTTGTGGGATCAGGCGCGCGCAAAGGGGTCCTGCACTTACGAAGAGTCTTCCGGAGGCTCTTGGAGGGCTCTTGGAGGGCTCTGGCAAAGGGGTCCTGCACTCCTGGCTGGATTGTGCTCTCTTGTAGTACAACTGTAGTACTGGAAATGCCTCGTTTCCGCTCCTGGCTGGATTGTGCTCTCTCGTAGTACAACTTTAGTACTGGAAATGCCTCGTTTCGGCTCCTGGCTGGATTGTGCTCTCTCGTAGTACAACTCTAGCTCCTGGCTGGATTGTGCTCTCTCGTAGTACAACTTTAGTACTGGAAATGCCTCGTTTCGGCTCCTGGCTGGATTGTGCTCTCTCGTAGTACAACTTTAGTACTGGAAATGCCTCCTTTCGGCTCCTGGCTGGATTGTGTTCTCTCGTAGTACAACTCTAGTACTGGTTTTCGGCTCCTGGCTGGATTGTGCTGTCTCGTAGTACAACTCTAGTACTGGAAATGCCTCCTTGCGGCTCCTGGCTGGATTGTGCTCTCTCGTAGTACCACTTTAGTACTGGAAATGCCTCCTTTCGGCTCCTGGCTGGATTGTGCTCTCTCGTAGTACGACTTGAGTACTGGAAATGCCTCCTTTCGGCTCCTGGCTGGATTGTGCTCTCTCGTAGTACGACTTTAGTACTGGAAATGCCTCCTTTCGGCTCCTGGCTGGATTGTGCTCTCTCGTAGTACAACTTTAGTACTGGAAATGCCTCGTTTCGGCTCCTGGCTGGATTGTGCTCTCTCGTAGTACAACTTTAGGACTGGAAATGCCTCCTTTTGGCTCCTGGCTGGATTGTGCTCTCTCGTAGTACCACTTTAGTACTGGAAATGCCTCCTTTCGGCTCCTGGCTGGATTGTGCTCTCTCGTAGTACAACTTTAGTGCTGGAAATGCCTCCTTTCGGCTCCTGGCTGGATTGTGCTTTCTCGTAGTACAACTTTAGTACTGGAAATGCCTCGTTTCGGCTCCTGGCTGGATTGTGCTCTCTCGTAGTACAACTTTAGTACTGGAAATGCCTCCTTTCGGCTCCTGGTTGGATTGTGCTTTCTCGTAGTACAACTCTAGTACTGGAAATGCATCCTTTCGGCTCCTGGCTGGATTGTGCTTTCTCGTAGTACAACTCTAGTACGGGAAATGCCTCCTTTCGGCTCCTGGCTGGATTGTGCTCTCTCGTAGTACAACTTTAGTACGGGAAATGCCTCGTTTCGGCTCCTGGCTGGATTGTGCTCTCTCGTAGTACAACTGTAGTACTGGAAATGCCTCCTTTCGGCTCCTGGCTGGATTGTGCTCGCTTGTAGTACAACTCTAGTACTGGAAATGCTTCGTTTCGGCTCCTGGCGGGATTGTGCTCGCTTGTAGTACAACTCTAGTACTGGAAATGCCTCCTTTCGGCTCCTGGCTGGATTGTGCTTTTTTGTAGTACAACTTTAGTACTGGAAATGCCTCCTTTCGGCTCCTGGCTGGATTGTGCTCTCTCGTAGTATAACTTTAGTACCGGAAATGCCTCGTTTCGGCTCCTGGCTGGATTGTGCTCTCTCGTAGTACAACTTTAGTACTGGAAATGCCTCGTTTCGGCTCCTGGCTGGATTGTGCTCTCTCGTAGTACAACTTTAGTACTGGAAATGCCTCGTTTCGGCTCCTGGCTGGATTGTGCTCTCTCGTAGTACAACTTTAGTACTGGCAATGCCTCGTTTCGGCTCCTGGCTGGATTGTGCTCTCTCGTAGTACAACTTTAGTACTGGAAATGCCTCCTTTCGGCTCCTGGCTGGATTG